ATGGCTTAACGGACCCAATTTCTAATACACATTGATACAATGTTTTATTGTCCAGTTTTTTGACAACTTTTGATACTTATCTATGGAAGACATTATAGAAGTGTTTGTAGCACATCGGCTATATATCTGAATACTATTTGATTGATTGCCAAGATTTAATTCAGGTCAAAAGAGGTTGGCGAGACTGTATATTGCATACATTCTTTGCAGATGGTTACTTACTACCTCTGATTCTATAGATAAATTCATGTCTACTTCCGTAGCTATTTATGATGCTGATCATCAAAACCATTGTATAAAATTCCCAAAAACTTGGATCCCGTGTTTTATATATATTCAATTGTGCTTTTATCACCCCTTGCTTTGAGAGGAAACAATTGGCCACGAAGAGGCTGTGTTGAAAGTTTTCGCGAGGCTTGTGATGTCTATTTGTAAATTCCAATCCATGGCATTATTCAATTATTGACGATTTAAGTATTTCTCTCAGGCTATTCTTTTGGATTTTTGTCTCTACCTGAGCGATTCTTCCTTACCTTGACTAAATAATTTGCCATAATAAAGACGGCGCATTTCTTTGGGGTCTTGGAAGTCCTCGTGTGGCAACAGATTCATAGCCTGCACTAATAATATATTTCTCATGGACAAGACAAGCCTGCTTATTTCTACGTCACGAGCACGAGTGTTTACTTCGCATGAGTATTTATGGTTGGTTTTTCGGTCAGCCATAACAGCCATTTACCTTTTTTTTTAAACTTATAGGATACCAAGACCCATATCAGTCTCGCCTTACTGCTTCGGAATTGGCTGCCCTTGAGCTCGTTGATTCATCGGACAGCTTGATGCCTGTATGCACAATCACTGATCGCGGCATGTCAGTCGCCTTTCGCCTGTGTCCTCGACTTACCAGCCTCACGGTGCGCCACGCACCTTATCTAGTCTCTCTTCGCCGATGGCAACCATCGCCATCGACACCAGCTTCAATGCCCCCAGTCATAATGGTGGCGCCACTATCGCCATCATCAGGTGCAGCCCGAGTTCCAGAAAACAGCATTCGACACTCACCTATTCGTGACGCACCGGAACCCAGTGCCTCGGCATCCCCACAGCCTTCTGCATCCTCATTAGAAGCTTCGTCTGGTCCCTCATCTGTTTGCAGGTCTTCTCAAGCCCTGTTTGCAATACAGCAACCTTTGTCTTCTATAGACTCGGCTGCTGCAGATCCTGTAGCAAGTGGGGCTGTTTCCATACCACTCGGCAATTCTTTGAGCGTTGCAAATAATGGTGCCCAAATACGGGGTTTTCAATCTCCTGCTCTTATTGCCGCTGGAGAAACTGGCTTCTTGCCATTACGTTCACTCACATTAGAAAACTGTCCTGGTATTCAAATCGAGGTTAGCTTTATAAACCTATTTTACACGTATTGGATTTGGCTTAAATTCTTGTTTGTCCTTTTATATTATCGCCTCCTGCCATCGCTGCTGCCCTGCCTTCTTTTACGTTTGTTATTCGGAATTTTTAGGCTCTAATTCTGGAGGCCCTGGCAGCAAATACTTAACTTTTTGTTAACTTGGAAATGCTTAATTATCTCTATATATTGTCAGCTGAAGGCGTTTAAGATTAACCCCTGGCACATGAATTGCGACTATTTGGTGCGTCATTTTGGCTTAAGGTTTTGTTTCCTCGTGCATTTAAGGATTTTGCCTCTACTATGGGGTACTGACTATCCGTAACTTCTTTACTTACTGATAATTGCCTTCTCTTTGATGGTCTTGTTTTTTATTTAGATGGCCGGTTAGCTATCGCTAATCACTACTGCTGTGTGCAAAAAAAAATCATATTTTTAACTTTCAGATATCGTACATCATATGAAAAATATGAGGTGGCAATATCAAAATTGTTTACTGGTTCACCTGGCCTATGGCTTCCATGTGTTTATTAGTTATAATTTTCGTACAGAAGTAGAGTTTCGAGATTTTCAGTATCAGTCATATGAGATGTATTCACCCAATTTAGTTTAAGGTGATGAAGAACTGGTAGTTAAATTTTCCCACAATAATATGAGTAGAGCTGACTTTTCCATTGCATTTTACATCTGCCCTGTCACCCAAGGGCACTTGAGGCAATGTGACCGAGTTTTTAACGTGTTAAGCTCACATCCTGCACTGTCACGGTTCGACTTTGCTGAGGGTGTTGTAAGACCTATGCGAGGTCGAAACAGCAGTCCACTCTTGGGAAAGCTAGTCTATGGGAAATTTAATGAAAACGCCAGCTATACTCATCATTGTGGGAAAATTCTATTATTAGCTTTACTTTGTCCTTATCTGAAGTCCCATTTGAAAGTTCTCCAGCCCAAGGATACATTATATAATGATTCTTTTCATTTTCCTCATTAACTATGGTTTGGTGATGAAAATTCAAATATCTTTTGCCAAGCTTACTTTTTTTTAATACTATCTACAAAACAATATATATTTATTGAAAGTATGAAGACCAAGATAGTGTGGTCTTTTTTTCGTGGTCGCAGTCTCCTTCCATTGTATAGAAGCTGTTTGACCTTGTTTTTGCAACTTGGTCATATTGGTAGGAAGACTTATAGGAACGCACCTTGTCCTGAGT